CACTCAGGTGCAGTATATAAGTAGGACAGAAGATAAGACAATAGACAGTAACGCAATAACAATAACAGTAACGTGTAATAACATAACTTAAAGTTTTAATTGTTCCGTTTAGTTTGATTGATACAGCAGGTATTCATGTTAACAGCTGTACTGTATAGGTTTGCTTCGAGTGCTGCAAGCCCCTCATTTAGCTCTGAAAGGATCTGTGCACAGACTTTTTTTCAACGGGAAATATTGATATATTCTCCTAGTCTCTGCAGTCTGGGGAGCTCCAGGGTTTGTGATGACCAATGGCTATGTCTTTTGTATTTTGTAAGGCAGAATTTTTATTACAGTCATTAAGCTAAGCATTGAGGCTTATTTTTAATGAATGTCTGGGTATGTAAAGAACGGAGGTTGAAAGCTGAGAGTTACAGCATGTTGACTTCTGTGGCATGATTTGCAATGCTGCCATCTTCTGTTCAGTGTCTCCAAGGAGTGTTGTCATGCAGTCATTCATCCACTGTTTTGCTCAAGGCTTGTAAAGAGAAATTGTTTCTTTGTGTGGTATGTGCTCCCAAGTTGTGTGAATATTTAAATCATTTAGTGAGTATTTTTAGCTACAGCTGAAGTAACTTGTGCTCTTACCCATTTACACAACCTTTGTATGTGAAGTACTTGATTAAAGGTGTTCCTTCCCGGCATTAGTTTCTTTCCGCGGATTTCCAGCTACAAGTCCAGAGCCCTAGCCACTCCTCCACACTGTTGTCAGAACATATCTTGTCGCTGTCAGGGAGTGAGGCTGTCTGGAGCCTATCCTGGTTGTGAATGGCGTGAGGTGGGACAGACCGTACACAGCTGCTCTGTTACCATGCAGGCAGTCATCAAAGGGAATTAAAGTCTGCAGAGAAGCGACACAAAACAGGGATGCGCTGGCAGACGGTTTGCCTCAGTCTCTCTTGATGAGGCCGAGAGGAGCAGTTGGCGCCCTGCAAGGCCGTTCCTTTACTCTGTGGTGCTACAACATCAGCTGGCATCGGCTGGCTTTTCACTGCAGTTTTCTCTTTAAGCTGCTGAAACGGTTTCTTCTTCTAGTAAGCTGGCAGTGCCTAAAACACCAAATGTTCCTTAGGCCACATGGTCGAACAAACAATGCCTGTAGTGTTTTAATGTTTTGGTCAAGTCTTGTAAAGAGAAATTCAGTTTCTTAATGTGGTATGCTCTCAGTGGTGTGAGGCAGTTTTATACGTTCACTGTGTATTTTTTTTTTAACTACTAGTGTCGGTTGTCCCTCAGCCTTTAATTATAAAGGACAGAACAAATTCTGGTTTATAAATGACAGAAAATGACAAAGCGAGAAAGTGGCTTTCGGGACACTTTGGGAGTTTCCCACTACAAAGAAACGAGCAGACGAGAATGGAAAATTAGAGAGGGATGGGTTAGAGACACAAAGGATTTCAGAAGAATTTAAAATGTTTTTCGAGAGCACTGTTGCCTAAAAAAGCAGTGGCAAACAATGGCAGTGAAGGTTTTGAATGTATATTATTCAGTTGTTTTTTGCTGTTGTCCCATCCAGGGTGTGATCCCACATTGTGCATTAGCTTTCTAATAATGGGTGGATTGGTCCTGTATTATTGAATGTGGGAGGGGAAAAACACCGCCCTGCTGTTGTTCTGGAACTCCCTCCAGAGTCCTCATGTAGGTGTGCAGTTAAGGAAACTGCTGTGTCTACAAGTGAAGTGCAGGTTGCTTCATGTATGCAGCGCCTCTGAAATGAGTGGTTTTCCTGTGCTCAACAGCTTAAGGACAGTTCTAATGATTGTGCTTGATTGGCTTTAAACTGAAGAGCTTCAGCACTGGGGCTGTATGGAATGATATCTGATCTCACACAGTTAGCTCCAGGATAATGGCTCCTTTATTTCAGGTTTTGCCTGTAAATGAGGTGGCAAAAGTGCACAATAGGAAAGTGATCAGGATTAGATTCTGCTTGCAGTTCTTTAATTACCACCAGGCTTGGCCTGCATGGATACTGTATCCTGCTCTGCTGCTTAGCTCAGAAGGAGGCGGAAATCTGAAACCTATGGCACTCAAACTGAGATGTCAGAGCAGGTTTAAGGATTGGAAGTGTTTAAAAGACATTTTTAAATTTATGTGGTGAAAGCCAATTTTTTTTATCAACTGAAGTGAGAAGAATTAAATTTTTTTTAAAAGTTCTAAACTAAAGCATACCTATCCTTTGTCTGCATAAGTGAGCGATATTAGGAGCTGTAATATAGTTTTTTCTGGCAACGGCTTGTTAAAAAAACATCCTGCGAAAAGTCAGAAATTGAAAAGAAAGCTCAGGTCATCAGAATTGGTTCTTGACTGCAGTTTATTTTGGACTTCATGATCACGTAGTCAAACTTAAGCAGTGTACTTCTGCCTCAGATAAAATCTTGAGGAACCCTATAAATGCGTTTTTACCAATCCCATGATAATTTGTCAGGAACCCGGGTATCGGGAAAGTATGAAAAGGCTGCCCTTTCTCTAAGGGGGGAGCTCAGCTCCCGGTGTGGGGTCACTTTCCGCACTGCGTCTCTACTTTGTGAAAAGGCTGACCTTTGCTCCTTTTGGAAAGCTGAGAGCCGAGTGGTGATAGGGGCTGGGGCAGCGACACAGAGGCAGAATTAACGAGCAGTGCAGATTGACGAGGAGCTGGGGTGAGACCTGAGGGGCACTACGGGCACAATCAATTATCAGCGACATGAATCTCACCCTGCGGCTTCCAGGGATTTAGCTGTTGCTCTTAATTACTTTGAATATTTGGAGATTTTTCGGGTTTTTCCTCAAGTACCTTCTTTACTTCATTGCGAGGTTAAGGGTTTGGCAGGATTGAAACGACAAATGGAGAGTAAGTTGTTCCCTCTCCGAATCTCCCATTGCAGCCCTTCACTGTTTGCCCCTCCTTCTAAACTCAATTAATATCAAAGCTTTGGCGATTCCATCGAGCGGAGATGGAGATAAACAGCCATGCCAAGCAGAACATGAGGTAGGCGATTAATTAAATCCAAGAGTTTTGGATGGGAGTGGGGGGGTGGCTGTCATTTGCGAGTAATGGTGCACTCCGTGAGCTCCCCATACTCTTTCTTGTGCGGAGCTGGAATGTCCTAGGCCGAAAAATAACTTTTTTTTTTTAAATGACGGGACACTGTAGGAATGTGAAAAGTCATGGCTAGTCCTCTGCGATACATCAGTCCATGTCACGAGTCTTCTGTCTGCTTTGTGTGTGTTAACAGTTCCCAGAAGAAATCTGAATTCCCCAGCAAAAGGAAATGTAGCTCATTTGACTCTGAGAAGTACAGTGATTGGGTGAATGTTGTACATAGCCATCTTGAGATCGTTACCAGAAGTACTGCTAAATGTGCATGTGATTTATTGGGATCTTTAACCTAAATCTGAAGGTTTGTACTACATACGTTGTTATGTACTTAAAGTAAAGCATTTTTACCAATGTGGTTTAGGATTTCATCTACCCTGAAAGGCGGGCAGTACCTGTGTTTATAAGAACACCCGAGCCTCCTCATGCCTTTGAAGGTGTTCAGTACTGATTGCTTTCAAAATGCCTGACAGCTTCTTAGAGTTTCTATTGATGTTTTCACTTGTAGAAACTTAAAAAGAAATCTATTAGTCCTTTTAGAATAATTGCCTACAGGCAATTAGGTGGAAAATTCCCTGATCATTTTTAAAAGCTTTGAACATGGTTTATGAAGATTAATACACTTGCAGGGCTGATGTTAGGAGATGCCCTGTACAGTGTTTTGCCTGAAAGGTTCATCAGGCAGCTTTTATCTCTTTGAGAGCTCAGGAGAGAACCGGTATGTTTTCAGTGTTCTGGAATCACAGTTTCCCTTTGATGGGAATATAATAGGATTCCACCTTCATTTATCTGATTAATGGGATCAAGACACATTCTTTCAAAGAGCAGGTGTTTTACCTTCCATTTATCATGTTTTGTCTTTATTTCTTATAATGCTTCAGTTATTCGGTTATTCAGAAGATGAATGTCAGAAATTCTGCTCTAATGAAACAAGTATTACAGTACTTGCTCAAAATACTTTTTTTACGTCTGTTAAAAAATTGGAAGCATGAAAAAATCATGTGCTACATCAAGACAGTAGGCATTTGGCTTCAGGTTACAATATATTCATATAATTGGTCTCGATGCACACGTGGTATTAAAGTTTCAGATATAGATTGAATCTGTAATATTTAGCCTATATGTAGTTGCACAGTTGACTGTTTCTCTTGTATACAGTGATATGTTGTGTATAGTTCAGGTGGGTAACTGCGTCAGCATGCGTAGGCTGCAAAGGAACAAGTAATAGGTTTATTCCATGCTGAAAAAATTGAATTTTTTCAGCATGGAATAAACCTATTACTTGTTCCTATGTTGTGTATAGATTGTCTAATGTATAGGAACAGATTGCTGATCCTAAAACAGTATAGATTATGTGGCTACTTCACAAAGTAAGGCAGACGAAGTGCACAATTAACCTAATGCTAAATATTTGTCTTGCTGAAACCCAAGTTCATGTCAATGATTAAGCATCAAAGTATCTGAGCTGGTGGCTGTTCAGTCTCTTGAGTTTTTGCGAAGCTGCTCGGAGTCTTTCAGTGGCCTTAGCATTGCAACAACATGAGTGGCCGATCAAAATATTTTAAGAAAATAATTCACTGACCAGTGCTTGATAAATACTGCCACGTTTAGAAAAAAAATAACTAAGGTTGTGTGGCTTGGTAACATTGTAGCCTCAGCAATATGTATAGCCTTAATAAATTCCTATGTTATGCAACCACCTATAGCACAAAGGATGTCTCAGGGTTTTTTTCCCTTAAGGAGTGTGGTGTTTGAAAGGAGACTCTTCACAAGGGGTTGCGGTGTGTTATCTCGATTCGAAAACATGGTGGAAGGGGGACGAGGGGCTGCAGGACCAGCTTGGTGGGCAGGACGTGCTGAACCTTTGCTTCTGTTTTTGCTCTAGGTCTCGATGCCGAGTTGTACTACGTGAGGGATGATGTTATCAATCACTACGCCCTCTCCTTTGTCCTGCCAGTGCCCAGCGAAACCAACAGCCTCCACTTCACGTGGCACTCCAAGAGCAAGGTGAGGCGCGGGGCTGCCGGTGACTAACGACACGAGGGAGGGCAGGGTTCCCTCCTGTAGGGAGAAGTGAGCTGTGAACACTTGTGAACCGCTGTTCCTCGTGCTACCGTTTCTATCCACAGCCTACGTGACCATAGAAATCGCGCTGCTTGTATTTTTTTCACGAGGTTTTCTTTCACGAGAAAGTGCATGTAAAAAGGATAGCACGGTTTTCTTTTCAAATGGTCGATGTGCACAGAAAGTAACATTTCCATTCATGCACCTTCAGAGTTACTGCATTTGGGATTTGGGCCTCCTCTTTGAGTGATCAAGGTGTAAGTAGCCTCACTGTGACCCATGCCAAAGACACTGTGAATCAAAACATTCAGCCATCCTTCAGCCGGATGCGAATGATAAAACTCCGGCGTTTAATGGCAGATTTCTGTTTTGTAAATGTGTGGACCTTTAGGCAAACAAACCTCCCATCAAGAGGCAAGATTGGAACTTGTGATCAGAGTGGGAAAGTAATCCATTACAATTACTGGTTACTTCTGTAAGGGATTACTTTTTTAAATAAACATTTTTGCTGTTTGCTGTTAAAAGGCTGTTACTTTGCCTAATAGCTAGGACTACTATAACTGATAAGTAGTAAAAAATATTTCCCCCAGCTTCTTGTTAATTTTAAAAAGCAATCCTTTACATGTTTATCTTGCAACAGTAATAGATTACTTTTAAAAATGACCTTTTCCCAACACTTGTGATTGGCAGATTGATTGAAAGTCTAAATTAATAACAGGCCCACATTAGACTACTAGTCTTTATTATATTTTTTGAGCTAAAAGGAGTAAATGTGGTGGGGCCTCAGGAAGGCTTTAGTTTGTCAGTGGAGATCTCATAGCATGTAAAGACAGATCTTCAGTTTGTAGTCCTCTGCCACCATATACCTGTTTTATATTGGTATGTGCTCCTGGCATGCTACTTTTTGTGTTGGGAAAGGGGATTTGGTTATTGTGCTTCAGTGGTTTGTAAATATTTGAATTGCCTTTGTCCTTACCCCAGGTGGACTATAAGCTTGGGTTTCAAGTGGACAATCCCTCAGCCATGAGCCTACCACAGTGCAACATCTCTGCTCAGGGCGAGGTACCTCGGACCCTCTCAGGTCAGCAGACACTAGATATTTCTCCTGATTTCTTGGAGGCAGTTTCTAGTAATTGTATGAAAATTATGCAGTATGGAACAAAATTATCGGATACAGACAAAGACATTATGGAAAAGATTTGACAGCAGTATTACAGGGAACATCTTGAATCATTAAGCTACATACAACTTTTGAATGTAAAAAACTTTTAATTTGCACACGAAATTTAGCCTGATATGTAGATCTTTATTGTAATTTTTAATAATACAGTTGGTTAGCTAGGGAGAGTTATACAAACGCTTAGCACATGATGTTGTTTTCTTTGTGGGTAATGTTAAACCTTCTAAGGAGCTTTCAGAGAAAGAACATAACTAAATGACTGTTCAAGGGTCTGAGTTGGAATTTTAATTCCAGTTTGTTCCAATTTGTTTTGTTTTTATATTTTGATGAATGGAAGAGGTGAATAGGGATCTATGCATTTTGTTTTTCTGTATACTCTTCTCCATATTGAAAGCAGGAACCTGCTTTTGTAGGTGCTGCATGTCACTCACCTTGTAAGAATTGAGGCTAGAGCTGTTTTTCTTCTGCCTAGTTTTCCGAGTGGACCTTTTGTGTTCGGGGAAAGTGGATGCTGAAGTCATCCTCACTGTGCAACTCAACCTGACCTTTAACACCAATAACTTCACAGTCCTCAACTTCAAGAGGAGGAAAATGTGCTACCAACGTAAGGTTCCAGGGCTGATAAAGTGATGTTTTTTATAGATCTGCAGGTATCCGCATTCTCTGAAGTGTAACAAAGGTTAATCACTTTGAAAATATCTTTGAGAAATCTTAACCCTCTTACTCAAAAGATTACCTCGTATATTTTTATTACGGTTTTTCTTAATAAAAGCACTGGATAGCTGGTCGTAAGGGTGCACCCTGGCAGACGGGTGAAAACAAAGTCTACACCGGTCATATGTTTTTCCTTCTGCTCTCGCAGTTTGGGACAGCGGATAATTATACTGGGTCGTCATGCTTGGTTTATTATGCTGTGTTGAAGGAGACCAACAATAAATTCATTGCTTGCTTTTTTTCAGCATGTGAGCTGAATTAGTAGTTTCAAAAAACAAATCAGACATTTCAAGTGAGACGTCATTAAATCATTAGTGCTGTTAAGGGCGTTTTAGTTGCTTCTAAGCAACAGGCTGTAAACGATTATCTGAATTCATTCTTCTTAAGATAAAAATAGTCTGAGGTTTGATCTCAACAATAAAGTCCTTGAGATCTTTTTAAAAAATCCTTAGAATTACTCCTTCCCACTTCTGAGACATCCAGTTCAACAAGTTTTAAAACCATTAGAAAAAGTGTTATACCCTGAAAAAATGGAATGTGTTATTTATTTTTTCAGTTTACAACAGAATTGCTCATTAAAATGTCTTGGCTATGTAATGTAGCTTCCCAGCTCCACATCTCTTCCAGATCTGAAGAGGCACAACCCCTGGGCCTGTGTACTTTCATTTGAACAATCTCTTATTTCCCAATCGCAGTCCATTTCCACATAATAGGAATAACATAGAGTCCAGCACAAGACAAGGTAGAGCTCTTCCTTGAGAGAACATCTTACCCGGGTCTACATCCAGCATTATCTAGGTCAGATTATTTTGGCCTGTGCCTCTATTTGAAAGGAGCAAGGTTATTTGCTCGATCCTGTAATTAGTCAGATGCCATCCGAAAGATGAACAGTACATTGATATTTAGTTCATAACTTGCGACTTGTCTCCTTTTTTTCCATATGTTGGTAAGTGCTGAGCATAGAGTCCTTCCTTTTAAGGGTGGTCCTTCCATCCTTTAGAAGATCATTTGTTAAGCCCTGATGACAGTAGGTTTCCTGTCCAGGGTGTACCCTGCATTGCCTGCTGGGATAGGCTCTGGCTCCCCTGTAATCCTCGATTGGAGGAGGCAGTTCGAAAATGGATGGACAGACAGTAAAGTATCACCTCCTCATGTTTCCCATTTTGACAAAGGCACTATCAAAACTTAGACATCAGATATTCTTTTCTTGCTCATTGGTTAAATTTGAACTGTGTATTACTGATAACAGAAAGACTACTCCAAAACTATAGACGCAGGCCCCACCAGAGCAGCACTGGAATAATAAAGGGTTACAATATGAAACCATCTAACTGGCAAAATAAGGAACCAGTTCATGACAGGTTCCCATTGCAGGTTGTTGTTAAGAAGCCAAAGTCACTAAAAGGGTATTTTATATAATTCAGGTGGGGAGCTGCGTCAGCATGCGTAGGTTGCAAAGGAACAAGTAATAGGTTTATTCCATGCTGGAAAAAAAGAAGAAAGAGAACACAACGTCCATGGAGCCGCCTTCACACCTGAAGAAGGCTCCATGGCGGAAACGTTGTGTTCTCTTTCTTCTTTTTTTTCAGCATGGAATAAACCTATTACTTGTTATTTTATATAATGCCATGATTTATAGCTATTACTCTATCTCTAAAACTGCAAAATGAAAATTACTTCAATGTTTATTCTTTGTTTCTTATTTGTAGGCGTTGAGCAGGAACCAAAGATTCCACAGTATTCCAACAAGAGCATCAACAGGCCTGTTTGTAAGTTCATCTGTCCTTTCGCTGTGGTAGACACGGCGTGTTCGTTTTTCAGAAGAGCTTTTCTTTGAATCTCTGCAATTTTCTTTTTTTTATGACTTGGTGCTTAATGCATTAAGAACCAGCATATTTCAGTAATTGGTTGTCTCGGTGAATGTCTTCTTTGTATAATATGATATTTGTGAATGTAATCGGCTGCAGACATTGGATTTCAATCACTGGACACCAGAGAATTTAATTTGTAGCGTGAAAGCCTCCTGTAATGTATTGGGCTGACACAGAATGAACTGATTGTCTGGACTGGAAGCTTGCAGGAACAAATCAGTATATCCCAAAGCCTTAAGTGGAATTGCTTCTTGCTGATTATACAGTATCCTGCCAGAATAAAATGTACACCCCCAAATTAGATGTTATACATGTATAGCCATAATTAGCCAAAGAAATAATAGACATTAAAGTGAAAAACAAAAGATATGTTAGTACTGCATACTGTTTTGACTGTGAGCATGTTGTGTCAAGCTTTATAGTGCCTTATCAGGCTGAGGTTGTGCAGTTCAGTCTGCTGGCTTACTTTTTTTCAATCTCAAACTCTATAAGAGAGTTGATGTTTTACGAGTTATGCGTTGTAGATGTACTTCCCTCATTTTTCTTAGTGTTCAACCTACGAAGCGAAAAACATTTTACACCTTAGGAGAATTCTAAACAACTCAAGTTTTTGAACTTTTTTCTTTCTTTTTTTTCTGTCTTATACAGTATGGTAGTTTTTAACATGAATTACGTTTTCCAGAATTTCGAAGAACGGTTACCAAATGTTTTCATCTGCTACACCTTGACAGCAGGTATGCTGTCCTTGTTCCTAAGCGAGGTATTTCACAGTCGGAATGGAAAATCAAACATTTACTGGTAGAACAAGCATTGCGCGGATTCGGATTTGCTTATGGAGTGTGAAACCACATGGAATTTCTGAGCTGTACTCTTACCGTGCTCAGGACAGATGAGCTCCCTGTACACTAGTGACCTTGTATGACTCTTGTTTTTCAGACGAGAGCGTCAATGCAACACCGACCACATCCGCCCGCGTGTTCTACATCAGCGTGGGGGTCTGCTGTGCAGTCATATTCCTGGTTGCCATTATTTTGGCAGTGCTGCACCTGCACAGCATGAAGAGAGTGGAGCTAGATGACAGGTGAGGAGCCTGACGTTGCCTCAGTGGCGACGGAGGTTTCTGTGGAATTCTGTGGTGAGCTGGTTAGGCTGATCTCGGCACGAACCCTTGTTCAGATTTAATTTCATTGCAGGAAGAAGAGGTGATCTACGAAATGGGCCGCATGAAACATGCTTTTAGAAATGAACCCGTTTTGTTGAGGTTTTTCTGCCCTGAGGCCCTGTATTCTGTGCTAGCCTTCCACGTGTTCTGTATTTTGTTTTTAAGAAAGTCAAAAATGAAAGGTTCCATCATAGAATCAGGTGCCTGTTGAAATTTTTGTTTTCCAGGAAAAGGTCAGACCTAGTGTCTCCTTTTCGTAACATATTGGATTATATCAGTGCATCGTGGAAGTTCAGATACCAGACAAGTTAGGCTTTTCAGTGTGTTTTTGTATCCCGTTAAGCTCCGTTTAATTGTGTGTTAACAGCGAAGGTCAGTGTATGCTGTTACTTTAGCACAGACAGAAAAACGTTGTGCTTGGGTCTTAGGTGAGAGACCGCATTGTCCACCCAGGGTGCATTCACACTGCACTGCTACGCTTCGTCCCAGCGTTGGTGCCTCCTCGGTATTTCGGCAGTGGGCATGCAGCTGGGATGGGCCGCGGCGCTGACTGTGTGCGTGTACCCCTTGTGTGTCCTGTTCTGCAGCGTGAGTGAGAGTGGCAGCTCCCAAGGCCTGTCCCAGCCGTCCACGCAGACCACACAGTACCTGAGAGCAGACACCCCAAACAACGCCACCCCTGTGACAAGTAAGAGCTTCTGTGCGCTCTTCCCCTCTCCTTGTGCGGTTGATCTGTTTCTCTTCCTGGTGTTAATATTAGAGTACGGAACATCAGAAAGGATAAAAACTAGAGGAAGTCGTTTGGTCCATTTTGCATATTTGGTGTATTGCAGCTTAAACGATCCAAAAACCACATCAAACCTTTTCTTACAGAATCCCAGTACTTAAGTTTCCACATTATGACTTATAAGTTGTGCCACATGGCCATAACCCGTTGTGTTAAGATTCTCTATCCCAAAAATACTTAACCCTCGTTAGAATTTTTACTCCCTAAGTAAGTTTATTTGTTTGTAATTATAGTTGTAGCTTTGTTCCAGCGATTTGTTGTTTTTTTCAGTGCTGTACATTCTAAATGATGGCGCACGAGAGCAATTTTCTTTTGTTTTCTTATCGTTGTGATGATGTAATAGAAACATCTTCTGACATGTTTTATTCTCAACCTGTGTGGAAACAAATGTTGCATTGTGTGTTTAAATGGGGGAAAAAGGGCAAACAGTGCTGCTTGAAAATCAAGCATGTCATGTGAGAGGCCTGTGCTTAAACCGCTGTCATTCAAGTGGGTCCTGTTTGGCCACTACACTTTAGCTTTTTAATGCAGTTGTTTTTCCAGTCAAAATGTTAATTTTAGTCATGTGCGTGATCATATATGAGGAGAGGGAGATTGGTAATTCCGCGGTCACATCCACTGTTAGAAGGAGTGGGCTTGTATAGTAGGAATCAGCCTGCTGCAGTGCAGTATTCATGAAGCAGGCTGGGAGAACTGAAGGCACATAAAGAGAAACCTTTGTAGATCCTGCTGCTAGAACTACCTTTCCAAGACCCTGTAGCCCTGCAGGAGACATGCCCATGCCACAGTTAAGATTCAGAGCATCCTGCAGTTCAGTTTGGATATTTTAGACAGGATACTGGGCAGGCAATGAAAGGTGCACTATCATGCATAATCCAGCAATCACATCTCAATGTCTATTTTACCTGTTGCTGTTGATATTAACTCTGTTAACAGCTGTTATGCTGTTTTCTAAGACATACAGTAGATGTAACATTATGACTGGATGTGCCACCATTCGTCTTTGTCTGAGCAAGCTTCATTGCAATACAATTCACAGTACATCATGAGTAGCTGTTAAATTAAGAATATAGCCACTGATATATTGCTGAGGACTTTGCTAAGGAAACGTAAAGAATTTAACTGCTTCTGATTCTTTCTGATGGCCACAGAGCCTCCATTTTTAGAAAAAGCTTTCATTAAAAAAATCCTCTATGGTTCCTTTAACAAACTCATACTCTGTGTGGCAGAAACAAGCAACACTTTCAGTCCTTCCCGCATTTTGTCTTCTTTTCTCTTCGGTACCAACATTTAATCCACGTATTGATTTCCTTCCCCAGATAAGATGGTTACATGCAATCTTATTAGCTAAAGTAGAATCAGAAGGTCACAGTAATGAGCGAAAATTCTTTGCTTGTGGCTGTCACTGCTGTTACTGTTTTTTGAAACCCAAGAGAGAAGTCTGTTTCTCAAGGATTGTGTTCCTTAAAGAGTGATCCTTCATACTGTGTGTAGTATTTACAAACGTCTTCTTTTATCGCAAGCTTTCATTATCTTATTCTGTTGTCTAGACAGACACTAAGTGTTCTGCCAGGATTGCTATTATTTATGTATCTGTCTATTAATTATTTCATATCAGATGTGATAACACTTTACTATAGCAAAAAAAAAAACATTTAACCTCTTTATAAACACTCCACAGAACAATATAACATTGCACAAAAACTGCCAACTCTGAATGTTCGTTCTGTTTCTTTAATGTATGTGAACAAATTCACGTTTGTTCCGATTAACACACAAGAGTTAATCTGAGGCTGTTGTCACCTTCACATTGTAGTGTAATGATGAGAGCTACCATGGTTGATTTTCAGAAGTATGCTTGGTCTGTCTTTCCCTTTAAAATTATTCATTTAAGCTTATCATTTTTTCCAACCAAGAAAATCAACAGAAGTACCAAGCAAAATAAAAAGAATTAGGCTATTTCTGTCTTTTGCTGCCATCTAGTGAAACTTAAAACAGTGCTATTTTTTGAAAGCTGACTTAACATTTTGTAATATTTTCCCACTGAAACATCAGTTGGAAATTCTGTATGCGACTAGCTGTTATTGAAGCAATTTTCTAAAATGAGAAATCACAATTATAACGAGAACATTATAGTCGCAGTTTTATACTTTATACTGTATGATATACAATATGATTAAATGGGATGAATACTGCTATGTTTGTTTCTCTTTTTAAATTCAGTTTTTTTGTGTGATTTAATAAAGCACATTGTTCATTTTAAATTATTTAAATCTACTGATACACAAGCCGGCAGAAAGTAGATATAAAAATCACAATAATTGTGAACACATTGAAGACCTATGAAACACTGTGGCAGACTGAAAAAATGAAAACAACGTTAATAGTGGGAACAACATCTCTGAGCGTTGACACAATCCTACCATACAAAGATCTGATCTGCTTCTGGATTTGGACAACTGTGTGCTAATCTGCCACTTGCTCCTGGTGAATTATCTGTGTCCTCTTTTGGACTTCGCTCTGCACTTGGGCCTAAATAAAATGTCTAAGAAAAGCAGCAATAAGAGCAGTTGCAGGAACCAATGAGCACTGGTGATTAAAGGTCCAGATGGACCAAAAGCCAAGAGACACAGGGGAGTAAGTACAGACCAGAACTAATAACATCTCCCCTCTGGTTGGTATGAAGGCCGCTACAATTAGCAAATTATTTCCCATGATCTTCACACATTGTCTTCCATCGGGACTGCCAAGGACAAAACTGTATCCATCAGTGAGTAAAATCCTCTTTTCACTGCCATCTGCAGATCATTTTCATGCAAACAGCGAGCTACAGTCATTCTGCTGATGCATAGGTTATTGTTATTGGAATTTCTTGTGCTGTAGCCACTGCAGCTAAAAAAAAACGTTCTGCAAATCACGTGGTCCTGATCTTGTGTGGTGAGTCTCACAACGCTTGCATCCTGGTTTCTCTGGACCAGTCTGATTGCTCCAACAGAATCTCTGTCAGTCGTGGCAGCTATAATCGGACAGCCGGGCAACCTCCCGTCTTGCGATGGCAATGTAAAGTCATGGCTTTTTGAGATCGGTCTCTTTTTTTTTCCCTACGAGAAACAATATTCCTCAAACAAGTAGTAAATCTAACTGCTCGCTACTTAATATGTAAATGAAAACATGGGTGTGCCTAATGAGCTACTGACGTAAAATGAATACTAATGCACAATGAAAACACATAGATCTTCATGAGCGATTTCACTTCTGCAGCCAATAAAAACATGATTTAAATGTAGATTTTTCACACCTCTTTTGAACACAATGGAGTCAGTGGGAAAAGACGATAAATCTATATGAACGTTTATGCCATCCTTTGTCTAATTTCTGGATTTCTTGAATATAAAATTTTCAGGATAATAAATTGGTGTTACACAGATATTTTCATGGTTTGTTTTCGTGTTTTGTAGAACTATCACAGTAGTTGACGTGAGTCATAGAGGAAAGACTCAATGTCTTCTGTGTGATACCTATAAGGGAGAAGTTTTAAAGCTTTATGGTGTATTGGTTTTGAACTCTTGCTTTTGGAAAAACCCTGGTGAAAATGGTTCCATTTTTATGATCGTATTAAAAGATAAAAGACTTTGTACCTGAAACAATAAAGATGCCAGCTCTGAGGGCAGGCGCAGGGGGAAACTACACTATCCAGGCTGCGATTATGGTTTGGATTAGTCTGCTAAGGCACCCTTGGTTTCCAGAGAAACGGGGCATCTGTGACTTCTTAGGCTTTTGCAGGCTTACAGTGACATATGTGACCAGCATACCTCTCCTCCGTTTGATGCTAAGCCTCCTTTATACTGCTTACGAGCTTGTAGGGTTGAAATATGAATGCCCTGATAGTTGGAAATGTCTGAGGAACTTGTGTGTAACTTATTGTAAATCGAGGCATAAAAAGACAAATTATTATTCAAAATTGGGAGGATATATGATAAAATAATTAAAGTTCTGTAAAGAATATAAGAAACGATTTACTCTAGGTACATAGGATTAAGCCTGTGTCCTTCTTACAAAGTATACAGTATTAGAATTGTGCTGTTCAGGTCTGATTGTTTTACTTTGATTTCTGCTTGTCCATGACAAGCAGACAGAGTTTCTGCTTTGGTTTCTGCTAGTCTGTCTCTTAAAAGCATTCAAAAGTGCTCGGCCAGGGGAAAGATGTGTTTTATTAGTCATTGTAAATGAGTGTATGTTTCATTCAGGATTCAGAATTTAAGAAAGGTTGCAAACGAGAGGAGCCTATTCACAAATGGACTAGGAGGGCAAAATGCCCTCCTCTCGTCTCTTCAGTCCTCCCTTTGCTCAGAAGTAAAAGGTGTGCATTCAAAAAACAAAAACCTTAGCTTTGCAAAGAATGGCACCTTCACAAGAGTTTGTATCTTCCTGCACTGTTTTTTGTTGTTGTTTTTGTTGTAGCTGGTTGAATATCTTAATTAAACTCCACCTTGCTAAGTTGGTTTAAAGCTCCTTGTTTATTACTGTTCCCCCTCTTGCTATCAGACAATCACCCCGGTTCTGCTCCCATCCTTCAACTTGCTGCTGCCTCCTTCCCAAACTCTGGTGCCCCTTCCCACGAAACCAAAAGTAAGTCCATCTTTGAGTGTCTCGGAGAACAACCAAATACTAACCCTCTGCTTCAGCGCTGCCGTCGCCTCGCGGCTCGTCAGTCCGTTGTCGTCCCAGCTGTGATTTATCTGCACACGCAGGAGTCGGGACATGTGGGCTAATCCTCATGTGATGTGAACCCTGTAATTTGGGAATTATCCCAGAGCAATTCAGGCTGCCCCTTCGGCCTTTGCTATGTGTTTGCAGATGTCTTACACAGCTCAGTTACCTGCGGGAGCTTTCATTTTTCTTCTGCTTAATTGCGGATGTTTTTTTTTTTATAACTTTTGAGTTTCTTTAAACTTGGAGATGTGGTTGAATCCGATTCTTTTTCGTCAGGGAAGGCGAGCGTTCAAAGGAATAGGTGAATAACTGTGCTCATTGGCATGGCTTTGTCAGACTAACTGGTTTTAGAAATATGTTCAGGAAACTTGTAAGCCAGGGAAATTCCTTTGTGAACCCGACATTACTCCTGACATCAGCAATATTCGCAATGAAGCTTTTCTAAATAACATAAGTCTGTATACTTGGGATATACCCTCAGGTGACTGTCTTGACAGAATACCCATTTAATGCGGGGTACCAACTCCTCCCCTTTCCTGGTGAAAAGAATAAACTGCACAAGTTCAGTTACTTCACTCAGAAATCAGTAACTTTTTGAAGTTCGTATCTCAGAAACTTTATATTCACATAAGTCAAATTGTTAATTGTAGTTAATTAACAGTTAACTTTCAGTTGTTAATTGTAAATTAACAAGTGTTAATCTGTAAAAATAAAAAAACTCTGTGCATGTCACAGTTTATCCACCAGTTGGCCAGCTTGTCTGTACGTTAAAGGTGAAGATATCAAATTCCTTTGAGCTTCAAGCATTGGAAAGAAAATAAAAACGAAATTAAGACTTGACAGACTTATTATTTAACAACAGAAAAAATTGTATAAGTTCACACAGAAAATATTTGGGAAAACTGCAAGGCTTCCCAGATCTGAAGCTGTTTAACATCACAGTATGACTGCCACGTAGAAGTAGTAAAGTCAGATAAACTTTGCAGGACAGTTTCTTTCATTAAACGTTTTCAAAGCAGGCCATGCTTTTAAAAACTGGCGTTCAGTGTTCATTTTTGAACTGTCAGAAGTAATTGTTTCTCACAACCCTTTTTTCCCCAAGAAATCTGAGCTTTAATTTTCTTGTTTTGTACAAGATTGTGTGCTTTAAATGCTCTTTGATACCTTTTGCCATATTTTTAACATTCACATTATTTTTGCAGCCCACCCGTTTCCCAGGTCCCGAGAATTTTATTTGGACCTTCTGATGACCGAAATCCATAATGAGCTTTCCAGAGTCGAATCCAATCTCTGCGTCAGTCATTTGGATGTATGCCAATGTGATTTAAACTGTAAAGTGTTTTCAACATATAAAATGTTGAAAAGGATATTTTTGGTCTGATGTTTAGGCCCAGTTTTTTTTTTGTCTGTTTACATATTTAGTAAAAAGGTAAATGTGTTGAATTGTAGTCCAGATCTCCATGCTGCAGTTTCAGCATTTCTGTTCTTTGGGATGTTGTTAACATGGAGTGAAAGCTAAAAAAATGTTTGCATTATTAAGACTTTCTATTTGCAACAAATTTTGCTATGACTATTGGGTGGCATAGGTCTTTCAATTCTTGAACTGAGCACTTGGTGTCACTGAAGAGCTTCGCCTCTGAAACAGTTTGAGAAGACATCTGCGAATAGTACCAATAATTTAATTTAATTCACACAGCTTCTGTGTGATCCACTTGTGATGTGACTTTATGAGAAACCTTTACATCAATTTTTCTTTTGAAAAACAAAAACCTTATCACAAGGAGTTATTTTTAAGCATATTAATACAGAACAGATTGCCTGCTTACATTTATGGTTAACCACTGCTTCAAAATGAATCAAGTACATTTTGAACTTTACTAACTTTGTATTTTCCCTACTTAAACCTTAAGATGTCTTGAATCCTGAAGTTCTAAAAACTTCCAACTCCACTGCTAAGAAACTGCTTTTGTTTTTAATGTCCATGAGTATTATTTTAGGATGGTCTTATTATATTGCTTAAATATTTGAACTCAGTTTTTAGAAGAAGTCTAATTTTCAGTACTTCTGAATAATTTTTGGGGTTGAATTTG